ATAGTTTTAATATTTTTTAATTATTATTTAGTTTGAAAATATTGTTAAAATTGAAATTACTCTCATTATTTATCTTTCTCAAGGTGTAAAGTAAAAGTTCTTAAGACTTTTATGATCATAATAAAGCTATGAGTTTGTTATTACTTCCGAAGTAAGGCGAAGTTTATTTTAATTTACCATTATAGGGTTAATGACAAGTCTTTGATACGTAAATTCATGTAAAGCACTGCTGTATACGAACATTTATTTGTATTAAATAATTTATAATTATAATTTCATTAAAAATTATATTTTGTTCAGTTGTTAATATCTAATCGAAAATATGGATCATAAAACGTTTCATTTGATGAATTTTCAATAACATTATATAATATTGTTATTATATACTATTGAATATTATTTGTTTTAACGTTCAATTTTAAGTTTTTTTTTTTATTTAAAAGTATTTATGGTTAAATCGTGTTTTGTTTATATCTTATTTTATAAAATTTTTCTATCCTCTAAATCATATTTTTTTTTCTTTTATCATAGGTTCACACAGTCCTTCACAAGGAATCCAGCTATTTTAGGAGCTCGTTGAAATTAATATGTAATTTTTTTAATGTTATTTTATATCTATATTAGGTACTATATTTATATATATATATATATATTAATATACATATATATATATATATATATTTATTTTAAGTTGTGGGTAAGCCACTGATCTATTGCATATTATCTAGAAATTTCGTATGGGACACCTATACCATGTCATGCACAAATATTCATATTTTTATTATTTAGCTTGTAAAGGTTGTAAAATAAAAACTTAAAAATATAAGATTTAGTTGTTCATGAAGTTATTTTAAAATTTAAGCTAGTTTTAAATAAATATCTAATTATTTTTGAATGATTTAACCAATTTGAGTATTAAACATATACATATATATTTATTTTTATTATAACCCTGTAAATATAAAATATTACTGTGGTACAATCTGAAGATACCAATGATGTATAAATTGCATTAGAAGAACCTTTTCAGTGTTAAAAATAAAATTACATTTAACATAAAATATTTGTTCAATTTTAAATTGATAAAGTGTATAGTATACATAATTATATATGTATTTCATTTTACCTTAATTCACTCTATAAAATGTTTACTGAGATGAAAAATAAGAACAAAGTTACACCTATAGTTTTCTCGATAAAAGATATATCATATAGGTATTATAATATTATCTATTTTCAATACTCAGAATGTATTATGATATTAAAATTATAAAACGAGCTTTCTTATAAATATTTTACGTAATTGAAGAAGTGCTATAATATAGAGTTATATGGAGGTCACACTTTATTTAATTAAATACATAAGGTATTAATGAGTTTTGATGAAATATTTATGATTCTAAAAATGTTTCAACAATGTTTGAGAGACTTGAAAATAAATTCTTAGCAACGCATTCATGTGAAAACGAACCATATATGTAATGCTCACTCGAATAGAAATTATCTCTTGGAAAGAAATAATAACTTTATATTGTTATTTGTACATAATTTTTCAAAATAAATTTCATATTTTCTTATTAAATATAAGAAAATTGATGTATACTATATTATAATATAGGTACACTTTGTTAGTGGTCAAAAAACAATTTCTTAATTTTTATCAAATGATTATGTACTGATTCCCAATGGTTATTATCATGATTATTTCACCGTAGTAGATGGTCTCATACATATTACTTATTAGTAAAGCAAATTTACATTGGGTTATAAGAAACTTTAATTAAGTAATGTGTTTTTTTTTTTTTAACTGTTGATTAATATATTAAAAATCTTAATTATTTTTTACTACCAATAACATTTGAAGCCTAGTTTTAATTTTTTTTTTTT